TTTAGTTTCTATCACAGCCTTGGGATGGAAGGGATGGAAAGGGATCATAAGGATGAGAGTTAGCATCAGCTATTATAGGTAATAACAAGCACCTATGATTGGCTGCATATCCTTGAATTAATTACCAATCTTTGTTGTACTGTGCTGAACCTTGGCAACCTAATGACACCTGCTGTTTCCTTGTTACCTGACAAAAGCCCCCACTCTTATGTCACCCCAAATCTGACTGCCTATTAATCATGTTTTTCTTTTAAAATAGTTTAAAATAGCCAGAAGCATTTTTATTTCAGATGAAAACAAGTATGTTAATCTTAATACCTTCTTACTTTCCTGGATTCTGTCTGACCTCCTGTACCTCAGGTATCCTAAAAATACATCACCAAATTGCTTTACCCCATACATATAGAAATAATAATAAAGAGAGAGTAATCCTTTAAAATTTGCATGTTGCTGGTCCATTTGTGAAATTGACTTCCACAGTTGTCCCAAAGGAAAAAGAGTTCCTGTGTATACTTTATTTCCTTTCAGAACAGAGCTTGCTTTCTCAGTACAGCACATACTAAATGGCTAGGCTGTGGAATTGTCTGTTCCTTCTCTCCTTTGTAGACAGATCCAAATCACTTCCAGGTGCCAAGTACTTTCCTTTATTAAAAATAGTTTACTGAGAAAGGGATATTTATGATCATGCAATGCCTTCAATATTAAAAACATGAGGTAATGTCTTCTGGCTCTATCTTCTCAACTTTGTTCCTTTTCCAATCTTCTGACCACCACACAAAGTCCCGTACTTTGTGTATCCTCAGAAAATGGAATCTAATGAGGAGAGCTTCCAATGTATAGATGCTTAGAGCAGATTCATCAAACCACAAAGATTAAAGGCCACATAGCTCCATCCTGTTACATATTTACAAAAGAGCTCCTAAGCACCAAGAAGGGAGAAAATCTATAAAAAATAAGAATAACTGCAAAAAGAAAAAAGAAAAAAGAAAATGATTGAAGGTAAAGTAGAAAACTTACCATCAAAGGGGTAAAGATAAATAACAACAAAAAAGAAGGGAGCAGGGACATAGTTCATACTTCAAAAATTTCCACTTTGCATACAATCATCTCAGTGTCTTGTATATACCAGAAAAATTAATTTTGTCTTCTGAAGCAGTTGAAATAGGAATTATCCATTCCCCTCGGGAAATCCACCTTACTAAAATAAATCTTCACTGACTTTTTATTCCAATTACCATGTTTTTTTCATCTGATTACCATAAGAGTTAGTGTATACTATATGCTGAGGTTCCTGCATGTCTCAATCAACATGAAACATTCTAAATGTCCTTTTGAAAGCCTGGTTGTCAAGAGAGAATTTTGTGAAGATGGCAGAGTAGGTCAGAAAATTCCAAGCTCTCAAGATTTTCTTCCACAAAAGAGATAAAATAGCATCTTTGGGCCAACATAGAGGGGTAAAATAAATAAGATTAGAGGCAGAACAGTGGTCCTCCTGGGACAATTGGAGGAGATCTGAAGAAAAATCCCGGGACTGAGATTTTATCCCTGTGAAGAGTAAACACCTCCAGGCTAGAGATCATTAAACAATAAGCAGCAAGCCCTGGGGCTAGCAGAGTTGGGAGGCTGCCTTGGCCAGAGCCTCCCCCAGGACAGTGAAGGGAGGTAGGCATTTGAGCTGGGAAAGATGGAGAGGACCTCTGCTGACAAGTAACAACAGACCCAGTTGTGCTTTGGAGACACGGCAAAGCGAGAAGGAACTAGCACTTGCCTGGTGAATACAGAAGCAGTGGGGTTTGGATGCCTCTGGCTGTGGGCACTTACAGGAGGCTGGAGGTCTTGGTTTGAGTTCCAAGCCAGAGGGGGGAACTGAGGGAGAATCTGAGGCCAGAGGCACCCTGCATACCCCAGGACTAGAGGTGTTTACAAAAACCAAGCTATTGCCAAAAAAAAAAAAAAAATAAAACAAAATGCACAGGCAAAGGAGAAAGAATCCAACTGTCCAGAGTTACTATGGGAATAGAGAAGACTCGGTTTCAAATTTAAAGGAGTATAGTGAAGGAAAGAAACCCTCTTTTACCTCCAAAGAGTAATGTCAAATGGTCACCTGCCCAAAAAGAATTCATAGAAGAAATGTAAAAGTACTTTAAAAATCAAATGAGAGAGATTGAGGAAAAACTAAAAAAAAAATTCAAGAAAAACAAGATTATGAAAAGTCAATCAATTAGAAAGGAAGATCCAGAAACTTAAGGAAGAAAATGACTTCTTGAAAATCAGAATTGGGCAAAGGGAAGGCAGTGAAATTATAAGAGATTTAGAAATAATAAAACAAAATATTAAAATCAAAAAAATAGAAGAGAATGTGAAAAATCTCATAAGAAAAACAATTGATCTGGAGGATAGGTCAAGAAGAGAAAACATAGGAATAATCAGACTACCTGAAAGCTATGATCAAAAAAAGAATCTGGATACAATAATACAAGAAATAATTAAAGAAAATTGTCCTGAAGCATTAGAACAAGAGGGGAAAGTAGAAATAGAAAAAAATCCACTGATCACCACCTGAAAGAGATTCTATGAGAAAAATCTACAGGAATTTCATAGTCAAATTCCAAAACCCCCAGCTCAAGAATAAAATATTATGAGCAACAACAATAACAACAACAAAAACCAATTTACATATGGTGGTTCCACAATTAGAATCACACAAAGCCTAGCAGTGGAGACAGTAAAAGACCACAGGTCTTGGAACCCTATATATTGAAGAACAAAAGAACTGGGTCTTTAGCCAAAATATTATACCCAGCAAAGCTAAGTATAATTCTGAATAAAAAAAAGACAATGAATTGTCAGACGTTCAGGACTTTGTTTAAAAAAACACACACACACACAAACTGAAATTAATAGAAGATTTGACATACAAGAGTCAAGAGGAACATAAGGTACATACCAAGGACTAATTACAAGGGACTGAATAAGGACAGACTGTTTACCTTTTATGTATGTAAAATGTAAAATGTATGTGTAAGATTGTTATAAGTAATTGGGTAGTTCATAAGAAAGATTGGGGTGGACCTGAGCATGACATGACTTCAAAAAGTAAAACCATTCAGGAACAGCTAAGAATCAATACAGAGGAATTAGTTGGGGGAGGAGGGCTGCTGGTTGTGGAAATCTACTTTCATTGGGAATGGGTTCAAGAGGGAAAAAATACATATACATCTAGAAGAGTATAAAAGTTTTCTAAATCTAGAAAGAAATAAATGCTAAGAGGATAGAGAGGGGGAAGAGCATAAGGGAGGAATCTTTATAGGGAAAGGTGAGGAACTAGGTTAAAAAGATGTACAAAAGAGTGCTTAGATTTATGGGAATGGGAGGGTAAGGGAGGAATCTTCGGGAGGGGTAGATTAAGTAAAAAGAGGGCAAGGTAGTGAATAGAAGTAAAGTAAAGGAGTCAGGAGGGTTAGGAAATAAAAGATACTCACAAATGTAAAAACAAAGATTAGGAGTGGAATCTGTTAGGGAAAGTTTATGTTTATATATGTATTATGTATATACATATATGTATATGTGTGTGTATATATCTATATGTATATATAAATATATCCACACTTAAGAAAAAAGAACAAAAAAGTGTACAGCAGAGAACAAAGTTGAACTTAGAAGAAAACAAGGAAAAGATGGACAGCTCTCAACACAGCACGTAGTATTTATTATATAGGCTTTTTTGAAATGGAAATTTATTGCTATAAATTTTTAATCTTCTTTTATGTTCTGCTATGCACATGACGTTTTTTTCTTTTCTTATTTTCTTAAATAAAAAAAAAAGAAATCTTGGTTGTCCCTCCCTCCTCCCCTACTCCCTTGCCATGCCTTTACATTTTTTCTCAAAGATCCAGTATTCTTTTTGGAGGAACTACATTTTTGCTCATCTCTCCACTGGCCATAGTTCTTGTTGGTCTGGGGAGGGGGGGGGAATGAGATTTTCTGCCCTTATTGGTAGGTGAAGGATCTCTGTGAACTCTGACCTTATAAGAATTGGGATTGTGATAGAAAGAGAGCCAGAAGGAAAACCTAGGTGGCATTGTGCAGTCAACATAACTTTCTCCACATGTATTTCCTTTCTCTGAAATTCCCCTTCTCTGAACCTACTTGACCAGTGCCTATTCTTTTACTTAGCCTTTTACTTACCCATGAACCTCTTTCGTGACTCTATCATGTCGTTCCTTGTATGTAACAGCCGAAAACATTTAATACTGAGGAAATACTGAGGATGATAGAGCCAACCATCCTTTTTTTTTTTTTTAAACATGTTGGACTAAGTACCCTATTAGATACACCATCACTGAAACATTCTTTCACTGTCCAGAACTCACCTGTATGTGTTGTCTCCTGCTACAATATTTTAAACTCTTTGAGAGCAGGGATTCTCTTTACTTTTCTATTTTTATGTTCAATGTTTATCATGTACTTGTCACATAGGAAGTGTTTAATAATGTGATTTCATTAGATTGTAAGGTCTTATAGGCAGTGTTAATCATTACTTGGCTTGGCATGCTAAGCTTGCTGTCAAACATTTTTTCTTCCACTCTTTTCCTCCTCCTCTCCTTCTTCCTTCTCTACCCCTCCTCTTTCCCTTCCTCCTATCCTTCCTTCTATCCCCCTTGCTTTCCTTGTCCCTCTCCCTTTTCTCTTCCTTCTCCTCCTCTTTCTTTTTCTCTAATCTTTGGGATTAATTGCTCAACTGTTCAGTTTTCAAGAATCATTGCACTTTCAATTCTTCAATCTGAGTCTTAAGAAAGTTTTCAGTTATAGCACAATGTCTTTTTCTATTCAGTAGCTTTGGATACCCATCTTGAATGCTAAACATTGAAAGATGTAAAGGGCTATTGATTTATTGTCTCTCAACTTTGTGTGTTTGTTTTCTGTTTTGAAAGAATAATGAGTTGTGAGTAGAACCCTAATTTTTTCCCAATATTCAATACCATTTTTGGTTCATTTAGGTGGACAGTGGATCATACAAGTGAAAACAGCTGAAGATTCTCCAGAAGCTGGAGAATGTAAGAGGACACTGGTGATTTATGGTTCAAAAGGGAAAAGCAGGGACCTCCTCCTCTCACCAAGAAATCCAGAACAAGTGTATTTTCTTCCAGGAGCTACAGATGAATTCCTTGTAAGTCACAAGAATATTATTTGTACTTTGTAGCATAACAATCTAGCTCAAAGAGATGATTTAGTTGTGATTACCAAGATGTGTACACTCCACAAAGAGGTCTGTAATTCAAATCTCCATCAGGCATTTTTATAAATGTTGCATTTTCCCATTTGCTAATTTTTGTTTTAACCCTGCAATATTTTCCTATTCAAGATAAAGATGGTATCTGGAGTTCTCTCTCATTTAATTCCTATGATTAAAAAAGTAAATGACATTCCTATGATTTTTTTGCAGTTTGAAATTGTTTGCTTCACCTTAAGCCTGTGAGGGAGACAGTAGAATGTCACCCCTATTTCACAAATGAGGAAATTAAGATGCAGAAATATAAAGTGATTATTTTAAGCTCCTAAGGGGTGATAATGATAAAGCTAAGCCTTTTAACTTCCAGTCTAGTACTTTTTCCATCCATCCACCCATCCATTCATTCAACATGTACCTAGGATGTTTCCACTAGGTATAGTATATTATACTACTTCTTTAATACAACTGACCACCAAAATTCACAGCATTTATTTAGTTCCTGTTGTGTGTGTGTATTCCTATGCTAGGTGAGAAGCTAATTAGTTTCTTAATTAGTCTTTGCTTGCATTTCACAAGTAGAATTTATATATTAAGCAAAGAACTGAAAAGCTTTTGATAATAAGTGTATAAATTTATCTGCTTGAGGATTTGCAAACCACTTTCCTCATAGAAACTTTCTAAGGTAGTATAGGTAATGTAGAGAATTATTAGGATTTTTCATTTCCATTTTACAAATGAGAAGATTGAAGCTCAGGAAGTTTAAGTGACTACCCAAAGTCACACAGTAAATTTCAGAACCAGGATCTAAACCCAGATCTTGCTAACCACAAGGTCAGAAAGTAAATCAAAACAGCAGCATCTAACATGAAAGAGGAAGTCGAGTTTTTAGAGGGAGCTTTGGAACACATTCTAATTAGAAGTAGTCCAATCCGTATGCTGCATTTTCCATCATGTTTTCCCCCTCCTTATTTGTCAATTAATATTTGATTGGACTTTGAATTTTCAACTCTAAAAAAAGAATATGGGGGATACTTAGAATATCACTTTTAAATTTGGGGAACAATGATACTGTCATTATGAATAGTGGCTAATTGACTCAGATAGGAAGTAAGCAATTGGCACTAATATAATCTTCAGGGATCAATAATGTATTTAGCAAAGTTAAATTGTCTCTCAAAGTCTAGCTCTGGATGTGTGAAACCTTTTTAATGATAGCTAATTGGATAGTTTTGAATAAGCTGGTAATCAAATGAGAAAGAAGTATAGCACAAAATAATATATTTGATGAAGCCATCTCTAATTCATTTGAGTTTACCTCAAAATAAAAATTATTTGGGTTGTTAATTTATTAGCCACCATTAATATCAGGACCTAATTTTTTGGAATATCAGGTAATCTTTGACATCAATTCTGTTATATTGCATGCTACCTTAATTCTATTATTTTTCCCTGAAAAAGAGTAGAATCAAGAGATGGAGAGATTAATTTGTGAGGATATTAGTGTTTGATACAAGCCTTCCTTGTTTAGATTGCTCTGATATTAAACCTATGAAGTAAGAGAAGAGGTAATATGTAAGGACTGTAACCCTGGCACAAAGGGCAAAACAATGGAAGCAACCATAAGAGTGGTCATAGGATACTTTGATAGATCTCTCTTCTTGGCATGGGCATTCTCTCCAATAATACAAATTACAACCCAATCATACCTCATCATGTGTGAGTTCTGTTCCTTTCCTCCTGTGAATCCTACATAGGCAACCCAACCAAAGATTTGGAAGCCTTTTGGCATTACCTGGAAATCAGTGGATCACATGAACTGAATATTAATTATAGAGAGAAAACAAAGTTAAGACTACAGAGCTAAAACTATAAAATTAAGACCTGAGACACCCAGGTGATACTCACTTCACTCTTGGCTCACTTTCCAACTCTCAGGACTTTTCCACCCTCTTGCCATCAATCTTCTCACCCTTTAGATGCTACCACCTTGAAGCTCTGACTCTTAATTGGTGAAGTTCTAGTTCCACTCCTTATTGCTTGACTTCTGGCCAATAACTTTACCCCTGTGTGGGAGACATTTCCTCCTTTGTCCCTTTCCAGTTTTACTTTATGTGTTGCTTTGTCCCTGTTGCTTATATTTGCATTTAGCATAACACCTGCCATACAGTAAATACTTAATAAATGTTCCATCTACATATCTATCACCTAACGTCAAATTGCCATTTATTAAATCCCCTTTTTCCAGTGGGGTGCACAAACACATTCTACTTGGATCATCATTTTGCAGAGTCCCTTTTAATTTCATACATACACATATTAGGTCTCATCCTCTTTAACTTTGGGAGTGCTTAGATTCCGTGACATTAAGATTTTCCGGGTTTCCTTCTGTTGTTAGGTGGTTCCTTCTCATTCTTCTTTATCAAGTTCTCTTCCTGATCCCACCCTCAATCACAAATGGCCTTCAAGGTTGATGAGCCCAATATGGACCAGTAAGATGTGACTTTTTCATGTGTTCCAGTTTCATATTTAGCAAGAGTGTCAGTATAGATATGATTTAGTTTTACCAGAAGTATATCAATTTGCTGGTCACTGAAACAAATGACTTCCATGGAGTACTAACAGTTAAATAAATGTTTGTAAGTGGTCTAAAGAATAGTGTGATTCTTATCACAGTCTGTGTCCTTTTTTTACTACTCCATCACTATCACCATGGAAACAACAGGGGGCTCTGAGGAATTGAGGGCCATTTATGTATTTCTGTCTTTTCTCTGAATTGCTGCAGCCTAAAAAAAATAATCACCAACTAGAGACCATCCTCCTGGTGATGAACTTCTTTGAATTTAGCTATATTGGTTCTCAGGTAGCAGAAATAAAATCCATTTCTGGATCTATAATTGAAGTCATTCCATCTCTGTGGAACCTGTCAGAGAACCCGCACATCATGATGAGTCATTGGAGTAGAACTTATTGAAGGACTTGAGGAAAGAAGAGGCTTGAACAAGCAGTCAGTTATTAAACATTTTGCAAGGACAAATATGAAATAAAGGGTTGATGAAGGGGCCATTTATGACTGAAGAGCCAGGGAAGGAAGCACAGAATGAACATTAGCTACAAAACATTCCTGCTGCCCCCAAACCTGGGGTATATTTTTCTACAAATGCATGGTATCCATGAGAAGAGTGGGCCCATATTTAGAGCCCATTGGTATTTGTACACGTTGGCAACACAGGGGCCAAGTCAACTCACAACTCTAATAATGCAGAGCCCCTAATAACCTTTCTAGGTAAATTTCTCCTGCTGTTTGCCCAGGACAAAGCATCCCTGTCGGACAGATGGTGAAGGTGGGCTCTCAGGGTCTGTATCTCTTCACCAAACAACTGTTGATTGCCAGGGCTAGTGATCTCTTAAGTTCATAGTCACTTCTCTTATAAGCTGCTAGAGGTCCCACCCTTTGAAGCTGCTTTCAGCCTTGAGTGATTGTCCCTCTATATCCCTCTCTGTCTGAAGAGTAATTGTCTGCTCCCTAACTAGGATTTCAATTGTCTCTATCTCTGTCTTGCACTGACTTTCCAACTGCTAAATGCAGTGTCTCCTACTAGGCTAGATGAACTCTTTCTCTGTCTCTGTCTCCAACTCTGTCTGTCTCTGTCTTTCTGTCAGATGGAGTGTCTCCTACTAAGCTAGATACCATGACTATGGAGGAGGGACAAGAAAGAGAAATTCTTTCCTTTTCTTTTTATAAGTCACATACACCACAAATCTTCCTTCTGGCCTGGATTCATGAAATCTTTCAAACTGTCGGCAAACTTATTCCGTGAAGCCTCCAGGGGCATGGCCAAGTTTCCAGGTAATGCCAGGGAATGGCTTTACCACACTTTATGTTCATACTCTGTATAGGAATCACTTGATGTTAGCATATCATTAACCCCTTAATATCTCATTATCTGTGATCATACACTGTGGCTGCATCAGTCGAGGTGCGGCAAGGGGGCCAGGGAGAACACTATGATTCTATGATAATTATATTGTTGATGTCACATGAACACATAATAATAATAACTAACATTTGTGTAACACTTACTGTGTTCCAAGCACTGTGCTAAACATTTTATTATATAATTTTTATCTTCACAGCAACGCTGAGGGTACGTGTATTATCCCTGCTTTACAGATAGGGAATTGAGGCAAGCAGAAGTAAAGTGACTTGCCTAGGGTTACACAGCTAGGAAGTGTCTAAGGCTGGATTTGAATTTGAGTCTTTCTGACTTTAGTCTCAGGGCTCTATACACTGTACCACCTAGTTGACTGATTGACACAGTCAGGAGGAAGTGCAGTTAGCAAGGGCAGGACATGAAGATCATGATGTTGCCTTTGAGAATTGTACTAAACACCATCTCCCTGATGTCTACCGTGACATTTTAAAAGCATCTTTCCCCTAACGTATGCTGTGCTGACCACCCAGGCTTTGGAATCTCTGCTGCAGACACTGCTCCTTGCCTTTCACCTTTCTCCCTCTTGAACTTTGGACTCAGAATGACAAAATCTCCAACCTCAGAGGCCATCTGGGTCATTTCATGCCTGAGCAAAAATACCCTCTCTTACATTCTGAGAAATAATCATCCAGCCCATTCTATCTTTACACAATTATAATGCTTAGGAAGCTTTTTCTTACATTCAAGACCAACATACCAGGAAATAAAAACATCCAACAAACATACTTTCGGTTGTCCATAGATTTCCTGATCAATCTCAGCTTATACTGGATTTTAGCACTCCAGAGAATATCTTGATTAGGAACATCCCGCACTTATGTATTCCTTCTCCATTATCTGGGATTGTTTCCATCTTCTATTCTTGTCTTTTAATAATCTAAATTGATGAATTTCTTATGCATCCACATTGACCTCATTAAATAATTCTTTTTTTTCCTCCCTCAC